GTGAAACATACCTCTGGACTTCTCTCTTCTCTCTCCTCTCTCTCTTTGTAATATATTGACATCACACAAGTAATATAGATGATAAAAGTTTATCATAATACATAACAAGTATGAGTGTAACAATTTTTTTCAGGTCTTTTCCGGGAACCCCTGTCGTCCATAGTTCCCCGACCTCGACCTGTCGAGAAGTAGTCGTGAAGAGGAAGGAAACGGTCGGTGCTGATGTATGAAAAGACCTAACTTTGACAGGAATCGCCCCCCAGGTAACGTAAACTATTTTTGGTTGACCCTGTCAGCCGACTGTCTCTCTCGTAAGGGAAAACGTCACCATCATTCCTATAGTAAGTACGACAGACTTACGGGCGAAGTGTGAGTTGAACTCACCTCTGTCGCTAACCAAGCGCCTGAAAAACGAAGAAATCATCTCCGAGGTACCGTCAGTCCCATGCCCTACGGGACTAAAGAACATAAGTGCTTTCAGGACTTGCTCAGAGAGAAGACACAAGGTGAAAGTTGTCGAAGCGTGTTTGCATCGTGGATACGCAGAGGGTATGACATACAGATTGAGGAGAAGTCCAGTTAATGGTCATACCCTCTTGAAATACAGTAACATACTCGACTAACAGGGCCCGGAGGGCCGGTACATTCCCCCGAAAGAGAACACGCACTGTACTCTCCTCAACACCCTTAGTAAAGACACAGAGTCTAAGAGATGGTATGACGCTGTGTTTGACTGGACGTACTTAGCATGTTCGGACGTAGAGTGCGTCCCGTTGGTGGGAACTTTCTAAGAAGTCGATCTCGAGAGTACTTGACATCAGTAATACACCCGGTCCGTACCTCTGGTACCTAAGTTTTTGAGCATAAAGAACTCAATCTCCGGATAGACGACACATTCCGGTCAGCAGTAGAGAGAAAAAACCTCAACGGCTCTCTCCAGCGACTCGAGACACTCGCGAGATTAGATCGGGTCTAACGAACTGTTTGCCCCGTCTACACTCGTGTAGTAGTTCCGGGAACATGAAACGAGACAGAGAACTTAGGGACCGAGCACAGCAAACGTCGGTAAACCTTTTCACTAGTACTTCGTGAGACTCAAAAGGGTCTGACGAGACCTGCAGGAAAGTGAACTTCGATGGGTCGCCTACCTGTTTTGTGGGGGCTAGTGGTCCTCTGCGACCAAGGCTGCGAAGCGAGCACACGTGTGACGCGCGATTGACGGAGACTAAAAACACCCCTCCGTACTTTGTTACTCATCTCAAATAGTTTTTTTCCCTAAAACTATTACCTAACTGGGCGGACTCTGGAGGAACTGGTGAGGGGTTGACGGTCGAGATCAGCTACTAAACTCGTCACGGTGTGTTTGGTCCGAACCTTAAATGATGTGTTGCCATCGTTGCGACAAGAGAAGGAATCCGTAATGACTTCGGGTTAGTGTACGTTTTCTTTGATTTGTGACTGGATTTTTCATGAGCAATTTACAGAAGGTGTGTGAGGTAATTTCCGGAAACGCTACAGTAGTCGTCAACAAGGTAAGTTGCGACTAGTCGAAGGTTTTTTTGTAAAGCCGAGTCGTAGTCGATTACGACTCGCCATCTGTGTGTTAGTTTCGTGTCAAAATGGTGATTAGTCACCAATCTAAGTAGCTGGTTTTGTGTCTCCAAAAGAAAACAAAAGATATTACAGAAAACCGGTAAAAAAAGAAGTCCGAGTGGACGTACACCAGAAACCAGTTCCTAAGTGGCGTCCAAAAATAATCCTCACGTTTTGGGACGGGTCAAAGTCCCCGGGCATAGCTCAAACGACCGGTTCCCAAGCAGTTTAGTTTAACCGTACAGGCACTTACCAGGCCGATACCGAAAGGTCAAATATACGGCAAGCTTTTTGAGACTATCACCAGAGCATAAGACTAGATACGTATCTGACGTGAACGAAAAAACTTAACGAAAGTGCACTTCGTCTGACTTCATACAAAGAGTCGTCGAAAATGTACCCGAACACTAAGAAACACAAGAAACTATAAAAAAGAGTCCGATCTGAACAACAAACGTGAAGAGTGATAAGTTTTTACTTCCTGTGACGTGTGAGTGGGTAAGTTGCTCTCAACATCCCATAGACCACCGTCTGGATTCCCCTGTGTCCTCCCTGGCAGCTCCATTGATTCCCTCTCTCCTTTCCTGCTGAAAAATGGTGAGTGTACTCAGGGACGAGGAGTCATTTAACCAGCCGCCAGTAGGAGTCAGGCTTTACTTTCTTTTATATCCATAAAGAAAAAGTAAATCTGTTTACAGTTGTTTCATATGGATGTTGAGAGGTATCCATATATCTCTTCATTTTGCTCTCAAAGTGCACCAGATTGATGCATTTAACTTCAATATTTTAAAAAAAAAAATCGTCCCGGGGGAGCTTTCCCCCGGACCCCCTAGACTAGAGGGTGTCAGGTCCACTCCCCACTTATAAAAATAGTACTTTACCACTGCACCCCCTCTAATCTCAGATGCACCCTGAGTCATTTTGTTTAAGTACAGTGAGCCTTTCTAAAATATACAGTAAAGAGACAAACCCACCAGCATTATAGGATATACTATGACTTTGTGCCAAATACTTGTTGCTGATTTAGAGTACTGGCACCTTTTTTATTCCAATTCAAGCACTGGTTACAGATAATAGATAACACTTAAAATAAAAACTATGGCATATGATATAAATGTATAATATTGCACAATATAAGATATTGCTGCTTCATAATATTTCTGAATAAATATAACTAACTTTAAATGTCATTATCTGCTTTGACTAAATCCTTCCCTTTATTAGTGCATGAGTCAGAGAGTGGAAAAAGGATGTGAAAGAGTTCAGAAACCTTCGCTTGAACTCCCACACTTAAAACTAAGTGCTCCCTGTTTCTGAGAATCTTCGCTCTGCTCATTAGATCTGATCCATAAATTCATCGTGGCACTGATTGCTGTGATAGAATCAGATTACTGTTGCCTCACCCTGCGAGGTGGCGCAAGTGACAGCCAATGAAATTACAATGTTAATGAAGTACTGCGTGTTTAATTCGCCTCCCTAATGTGTGTGTCCGCAGCTGAGAGGAAGTGGACACATCGCTGATGACAGGATCTGTACTGTGCCCACTATCAAAGATGGGCTTTCTTTATAGATTTCTTTCTTCATTTGTGATAAATGGCGTTATTAATCGCCAATAAATCTAATGCTTTATTGTCATTAAGTCCTTAATAAGAAACACATTTTGGGTTTCCAGCTTGGAACATTGTCTTTTTTTCTCTCACATCACTCTTTTATTTTATTCTGTCACCATCAGGTGCTGCCCCAAAGTGTAATTATAAAAGAAAATGTTACATTACATTTAACAATTTAGAAAATGAAACATTTGTGTATCTGTACAATTGATATATTTTGTGACCCACTCTTACCAAAAAACAAACTTCACCCACAGAGACTTGAAGGGAATAACGTTGTTGTACCACCCACGCTGTTCTCTTTTTCAACAGGTGATGTTTGGGAAGTGTAGTGCAGAAACACAACAACAGTAATCACCAAACACTGACTTGCAATAAAAGGCAACAACTTAAGAGTTTCCTCTTTTGGAGACAGGTGTTAGAAAAGTTTCCACAAAAGTGCTTTTCATATAGATATTCAGAACATTTGTCACATTAAAAACAACATAAATGTCATAATCTATCTCTGAAACGGCAGCTATTTTCTGACTGAAACAGCAGGTGTTTCTCAATGCTTTTATGAATCATATTTTGATATGCGCAACGGCACATTGGTGGTGATTTTAAAGGAAATAGTGATTGTAAACACAGCAGCACTAAATCTGACCCGGTACTTAATGAATTAGTTGACAGTGTTGTGGTGCTTTTACCCCCCGGCGGCGCGCTAATCCTGCCGGCGAGTTTTAAGAATGAGGTGAAAGCATCGGCGCGGTGGAGATGAGAGGATCTGAATTCTGCGTAATGGCATCGTTGCGCTGCTGTGAAATCAATAACGACATCTGTTGGTTTATTCATTCAACTCATCGCCCTCTGGCTCTTTCTCTCTCCCTCTCTAGGAGTCGCAGCATGTGACCTCGGGCTACAACACCCAGAGTAAGTTTCCCAGCATCCACCCTCACAAACTGCCTCTATGGTAATTAACACTGGGGAGGCCATAAAGGCAATACCACCCAGAAAAGAAGCAGCTTCGAATGAATTCGTAGCCACGGGAGCACCAAACCTTAGCTTTCATCTCTATTTGAACAAGTAAGCAGACAAACATGGTTTTACACACACGAATACATTGGTTCTATTGATTGAGGTTTGTTTTTTTTCTTTAAAGGGGCCCTATGAGGCACATTTTCAGGTTCATATCAGTATATAGTGTCTCTACTGGGACATGTCTCCATGCTTTAATATTCAGAAAGCTCTTTATTTTTCTCATACTGCCTGTGCTGCAGCACCTCTTTTCACCCTCTGTCTGAAACCAGAGCCCAGTCTGCTCTGATTGGTTAGCTGGCCAGCTCTGTTGTGGCCCTTAGCCTATTATGTACAGTCTGTTGGAGCGCTGGCCAATAGAAGCACAATTGTTACATAGTGATATCTTTATGTCAAGAAGGTGAACAAAGGAATCCAATGGGGGTGTTTCAGGCAGGGGCACTGCGAGAGAGGGGGTGGGAGAGAAACTCCCTGTGGAGGGAACACAGGGAGTTTAGCCTTTGGAGCTCATTAACATGCACTAAAACCTTTAACACAATACAGGACAGGGAGAACCCAAAAAAAGCACAACAGGGCTTCTTGAAAAGCAGCTTGATGCTCACACATAAGAAGGTAGTGCTTTTTTTGTCTGCATTTACATTTTGCGTAGTGAAATACAGCAGAGGGTGATTTGCTGTTATTCATGGACAATTACACATTTTGGATCATTTTGTCCCAAGCTCACACTTAAGTGGTGAGCTGAGCACAGACTGCTCAGAGTGCTGCTGTTACTGATAGCATTCACTCAGAAGAGGGAAATGTTCCCTAACAGTATGTTTGATTTCGCACTGCAGTATTCATTTATCATTATATAATATATATTATTTTGGTTTGAAGGCAAAAAACACTGATTGGGAAACACATTTTGTGTGGTTCAATTGACTCATACTGCCGCTAACATCTCACCAAAATAGAAGAGAAGCAGTAGGGTTCAGCCTAATATATAGGTTTATAAGAAAATGTGATAAATAACACAATACAGGACAGGGATTGGATTTTTATCTTCCTAGTGATTTCTATAGTTTTTACGTCATGTAGGAGAGTTTTTCAATCTGTGGCTTCTGATCTGGTTTCATTGTCTCGTGTTTTACATTTGTTTCATCTCCTGTCTGTTTTTTATGTATTTATGCTATGTTTTTATACAGTTGTTGATGTACAGCACTTTGTTCAACTCTGTTGTTTTTAAATGTGCTATAGAAATAAAATGGATTGGATAAATATATCGTGATTGAAGCTAAAGTATATACAGTATGAACAGTACGTATAAACACTATGTTGAACAGTAGTATACATGTTGAATATACTATTGAGGTAGCAGAAAGATATACAGTACAATATTTATACTATAGAAAGAATATAGATCAAAGTGGTTCTATTAAGCTCTTTGGCGTTTTCTTTTTTCTGTAGTGTCTTATATAGGTTTTGGTGCATGTAAATGGTCTGCAAAGGCTACAATCCCTGTGTTCCCTCCAGAGGAAGTTTCTCTCCCACACACTCCCCCCCACCCCCCTGCCTGAAACGCCTCCATGGTTCTCCTTTGTTTACTGCCGTAACATAATAACAATACTGTATTTCACTTTGTAATGTATTTATGTACACTAAAGCATGTTCTAAATAGAGCAACTGACAAAACAATACAAATTCCCCCTTCAGGGTTCTTATGGTCATTAAAAACCTGGAAAAGTCATGGAAATTACAGGCCCTGGAAAAGTTATGGAAAATAATTGGTGAAAAAGTGTATGAACCCTGCCCCTTGATAAGTAAAGTATTCTGTTTTGAAGACGTATATTTTGGCCAAAAACACAATAGTTTTCATAGGCTTGTTAAAATGACATACATGCTAAATTAGGATATTTCAACACATTGAAAAGATATTGAGGGATGGTTACCTAAACAATTATGTTCTGTTTCATAAAGTGATGTATAGATGACTCTAAACACTTGATAGAATCTCTTTTATTCTATTTATTTAGTATTGACTCCCGGGCATCAGATCATCAAAAGCCTCGTCTGAACTGCTGCTCTGCTTTTAACCCTCATCTTGTAGTGTTTTGAAATGTTTGTGATGTATATTTTCCCCACTGGCGGGTTTTTCTCTCTGATATAAACAGAAGAAACACAACATGACTAGAATATAAAACACAGTGAAAAGGTTCTGCTCTAAAAGTCTTTGTAACCATTTAGAAAACATTTCCCCTCAGTCTTTTTCAGGCAGTGCATTTCAGTGCACGCTCTCTAATTAAATAAAAATGTAGCAGTGACATGTTTTCCAGCGTCACAACAGAATTGCACATCCACAGTTATTATAGTCTGGATTCTTGTCAACAAGCAATCAACACACAAACAAAAACACATGCAAAACAGTGATGCTGGAATGTCCTCTGATGTGTTGCAGAGCGATGTACTGTATCAGCTAACAAGCCTGCTACGAAACCTCCAACTGCACCACAGAAGTCGTGAGTATCTCCCTCCCTGACACACACACACACACACACACACACACACACACACACACACACACACACACACACACACACACACACACACACACACACACACATAAACAGAGAGTTTCTAACCCGCTGCTGCTGCTGCGTTTGCCTCAAGGTAAAATTAAGCTTGACTCTTGGATGAAATTCACTGCTGGTAGGAGAAAAAGATTGTGTGTGGATCAGAGCGAGGAAAGTGCAGCTACATTAATTTAACGTGAGCCAGGAGCATATTGCAACATCTCTGGCCCCTCTCCACTTCACTCACACGGCTGTACAGCAGGATTCATTGCAGGGAGAGATTGTAAAAGGAAGAAATCTTGGCTTGTAAATACTCCTATCGACCCTGATTTATCCTGGTTTTGACCGCAGAAGACTTGGCTTGGCTTAATCCCTTAACCCTGAATAGCAGGGTTGCCAACTCTCACACATCTGTGACACACGCTTTCACTCTCAATCTCACGCTCTCACGCTGCCCAAACTATTCTCACGCCAAAAACAAGAATACCGAAGACTAGAAACGGTTTTTAACACTTTTGTCACGTAGTGATCGTCTTCTCAATAGAACATCTTTGATAATGTCTTCTGGCCAATCAGAATCAAGATAACGGCGTTGTTGTTGCAGGAAGTCCCGACGGAGAATACTTTTGCTGTAGTACATCTCGATATACATCGGTACAACTATAAGACCCCACGGTTTGATGATTGATAGGTGTGTGGGCTGTCTTTCATTTTGACACACAGAACAATAGGGGCTATCCACCCTTGTCCACAATGTAAAGTAATTCACACAGCCTCTTCTCTCAGTGAGGAGCAGCAGGTTCAGCTTTCAGAACAAAGTAACTAAAAACTAAAAAGGCATTAATTGTTTAAAAAATATGTCGTGTAGTAATAGATTCATTTTTTTTCTTCTCAAGAGGGTAGCCTAACAGAATGTGTATTTTATGTTAGTATTTCAAAAAATCTCATGGGGGAGAATCCCCCCACACACCCCTGCAGGGGTTGGGTTTTCAGCATGTGAACTCTTTCACCTGTGGGGAAATTGCAGGATTGGCTCCAAGTCGCCCTTTTTATTTACTACAGTTCAATTTGGATTGAGACAGGGAAATAAACTAAACCTCACGCGTGGCGTTTCACTTTCAAGGGGAGCGTGTATGTAATTACATTGCAAATACTGACTTGAGCCCCACCACTGTATGGGTTAGCCCTACTACCCAACAAAAATACTCTGAAGCCACAACTGCCGACCCGTATTGCGCATGCGCAGATCTAAAATCCAGTAGAAATTATAAAAAAGTAAAAGTCTGCTGCTTATTGTTCTACTAGGCCAAAATAGAGTCAAAGAGTATATGAGAGTGAGAGTGTGTTAATTAATATATTTGGCGGTTTGGAGTAAGTCTGTAGATTTGTTTGTGTGTGTGTGTTTCATGTATAGGCTCTCACGATAATTAATTTTGTTGGATACATTTTCCCGGAAATTATTGCGATAAACGGTAATATTGTTGTCACCGTTGTATGACCATTTTAGACCACTGACATAATGATAATATATAATAATAATTCAAGTACATCCTTTCAAACTGCTAGTCACATCCTCATGTAAAGGGCAATTTATCGAGTTCATTTTTATTTAGAGTACAATAAGTCAATTAATTGCTTATCACGACAGGCACACAATAAAACAGTGGAAACAAACATGTGTTTGACTTTCATTAGTGAATGAAACTGTGTGCCCTTTATAGTCTGTGTCCAATATTGTGTATTTGTATATATTGTATATATATCCTATATATATGCTAAGGTCCCGCTGCTGACACGATAGCAGTCAATTTGTGCGCATACAGTATGTGTATTAAACCCATGATATCAAAATCTCACTCCAGCCAGGTACCCAAAGTTGGCAACCCTGTGAATAGTGATTAGTGAATCATATCTTAGTAACTGTGACTATGTATGCCTTTAGCCTTTTCAAAATAAGACACACAAAAGGAATAGTGTGAGCAATTGATTAAACAGCGTGTTTCTTAAATGTAAGATGCAAAGGTTAGCATACCCAGCTAATATGCTTGTCAGAGGAGTAACATGACACTGCTACTGAATCTTAATTCAGATTCAACACTTTCTTTAGTGCACTGCTATATCCTGCACTGGTTAAATTTTGACCATGTAGTGTTGTCTGAAATTGCCCGCAGCTGCTGTGACTTGGCGGAAGTGACAATCACTGCTGCTAGCTAGCTAGCTAACAGCAGTGATTGTTATCTTTCGCTGCAGCAAACTATTACGGCCTGCTCAATTAATCTAATAAAAATTACCGAATGCTTCTTTTTGATAATTGTGTAGTGGTACATGAATTAAATACAGAAAATAAGCTATGTGATTAACTTTTATTAGTTTAGTGGTCGCGGCTGGTGAAGGCATGATGGCGCCGTTGATTGCAAGAAGTTTCCAGCGTGGCGCACTTACCTTTTGACCGTTATAAGTGCCCATCCGGGTACTACTCATGGTGCATTTTGTCTTACTTTTCATTGGTACACAATTTAGACTTGTTTAGTCTTTTAGCTAACACATATTAAGCCTTTAATTGCATATATAAGAATACTATTATAATAATTAAGTCAGCTTGAAACATAAAAAAATCAGCCAGAACCCATTTTCATCAAAAAACATTAAGCTGCTAATGTTAGCTCAGTCGGTTAGCTAGTATTGCCAGAGTATATGCTAGAAGCAGTTGTGAACTCAGCCATCAAAATAGTATAGAAAGAAAGCCATGTTTAGCTTTAGCCTCTGTCTTTTAGCATAACACATATCTAGCTGTCAAATATGTATTTTAGACTAATTTGACTCAAGTCAGCTGAAACTAAATAACACGTTTTTGGCTACTAACATTAGCTAAATAAGCAAACTAGTTTAGTTTATATTATATTATCTGCTAGTGACATTTGTGATTTCAGCTGGCTAAATAGTATAGATATTCACCAACAACAAAAACAACAACGACAAAACCCCAGCAAACAGTCAGTTATAAATTTGAGAGGGACTATAGTAAATACAAAATTGGAGAAAAATATGTATTGTTGCATCTGTGTCTATGATACACAGCTACTACGTACTTGTGGAACATATTTCACTTGTTACTCAACAAATAATATCTTATTGTAGGTTTAGATAAAACTTAATTCATCACTTGTTGAAATTCTCAAGCTACCCAACAGTATAGGAAAATAATGACATACATAAAAAAAGGATTAGCTTTTCCTCTCCAAATTTTACATTTCTTTCTTCATCTGGGGAAGAGGATTTCTGCTCTATCCACTGTCATATTTAATGAGAGTTTTAAAGATCTTAGTGGAATGCATTATTTATAAATTTGAAGAAAGCTAATTAAAAAAGGAGCAACATTTGGGCAAGCATCGTATCAAAAAGAAGAGCTTCTGTAAAGTGAAGCAGACTTGATGGCTAGAAGATGATGCAAAAATCCTGCAAGTTAAGAAAAAGTCAATGCAGTCTAAAAGCGGTAATTCAGCATGTAAACTCTCATGTCCTCCTCTTTGAGTATGTACTTACCCCCCTAATTATATCTCCATTAGGATGATGTCTGCTGGAGCTGCAGTGCTTATAATGTCTTAGTACACTGTTTTACTTCCAAAGACAATAAGCCTATTTCTTTTGATTGCTATTGTTTGCCCTAAAGTGTAATTTCCCCCATCTTGTATTAAAGCAAAACTGCTGTTTTGTTTATTAGAGTGAAATAATTGTTATTGGTTAAAAACAATGCCTAGTTTACTGCACATAATGCTCAACAGGGTAAAATGTTGGTTATAATGAATAGGCCTCACTCGTCTTATTGAGGAGTAATTATGCTGTTGAGGCTAATTGCTGTATTCTTTACTGAATGTTCACTATAACGACCATACAGAAAACACATCTAACTGTGATTACCGACAGTAGGCTCCATACTTTAATGCCATATTAGAAACAAAAGCAAGTTGTTACTAGAGCAGAAATTGGGGTGCACCGAATGGGAAATTCTTGGCCGAAACTGATACCGAAAATAGGAAACAGTTGGCCGAAAACCGAATGCCGAAAGGCCGAAAATGATTTTTTTTTTTTTTACCAATGTTGTTCAGCTACCTGATTATGGCAAAAGACATGATTATGGCAAAACTTAACTTAAATAATAATCACTATTATGGGTCCATAAAAACTTTATTCAGCACTTTTGAATGCATACAGTACATTAATTCCAAGTCAAGTGCATTTTCTTTTCTCTGTAGGATAACTACAACAAAGTGCATTCAGAACAAAGCCAAGGAAGGTGCTTTAAAACTGCATAAACATCTAGGCCAGTAGGCCTACAACAAAATAGTGTAAATAAAGACTGTAACAGCCAGGCCTTCAACAACAACAAATGCACCTATAAGTTTGGAAACCTAACGTGTTGTTGTGATGACGTAATCAAAACGCGGCGACAAGCACGGCGCGCGACCATGCTCGCGGCTGGCTCACAGCCAACATGTCTGCCGCTTGGAGATAGTTCAAAATATCAGAGAAAGAGGCGTGGATTGTGATTTGTAATACTTGTTCAGCTGACATTTCTCGAGGAGGTGTAACTGCAAAAACTTTCACCACTTCGGGATTACTCCACCACTTGAAATCAAAACACCCGGACAAATATGCGGAGTATGATCAACGTAACCCTGTTCTCTGACATTCGGTGATATTTTTTGCCCTTTCGGCCGACAGCCGAAATGGCCTTTTTAACCATTTTCGGCCGATAATTTTCGGCCGATAATTTTCGGTGGCCGAATATTCGGTGCATCCCTAGCAGAAAGTGCCTCCCACTGCAAGAGTTTCACTACACTGATTACATGATGTTCGGAAAACTGCATGCTATTCATAAAGCGCAGGCCTAAAGCCCACAATCATGTTTCATTGTTATCTGAATAGCTATATTACAATATTACGCCATAAACAACGTTTTAAATATCGAGTACATTTCAACGAGCCCTTTTTCAGTCATTTATCCTTGCAATCTTGCTAAAGAGAAGTTAAGATACACTACATGTGTACACCCTGAATAAGCTTTACCCTGCATGATGATAGCCAAATGATAAACACAAGTGCTTTAGGACAATATTCGAATCATCATTATTTATTATTACTTAGCAAAATCCTACTAATGTTAAAATAAAGGTTGGACCATATTGGAAAAAAATGACATTTCAATAATACATAAGCAGTATGCATTGCAATATGATAAATCCATAATTAAAAATACAATCAACACAAATCTTGCATTTTTAATTGAAAAGTAAGAGGCTACATACAGTACAAAAATAGAGATTTTTTTTATTAAGAGATTCTTTATTAATCCGAGCGGGGACATTTCGTTTTTTTACATCGCACACATGGGCCGAAACGCACACGCAGGAGCGTTAGTGAAGAGGTGTCATGGAGCAGATTGGGGTTTAATGTCTTGCTCTAGGACACCTCAGCAGTGCCCAGGAGTCAAACTGGCACCTCATTTAATTATGTTTAACGAGACGAACTGTGTTTCAAGATACTGGGTGGGGTGGTTTACCAACAACGTCACAGACCCACGGCATTGAAAAGCACTTGATTTGATATGCAGCAGCAACCACTTTAAACACATTTCATGTGACCATATACATGTACAGACGTGTGAGGCTGATAACGTCAGATTGAGGCACCTGAGCCCCTGACAGCCCCGGTTGAATTCAACCCCTGCTTGTAACAGAGCAGAAGAAACGGAGAAGAATCTTGTATAGCCGAGTCAGCTTTTTCTGTTTGCTCAGCCTCCGGTGTGGCGTCTCACCTGCCGGCAGCAGCAGAAAAAACCCACTGTTGTTTTTACAATCGCAGAGCATAGATAGAGCAAGGCACTACCAGTGGTCGGGTGAGGATTCACTCTCTGTTGTGCTCAGTGTAAAGAGTACTGGCTCTGGTGCCTGCTCACCAACCATGTGGCAGGGTTAGGCTCAGAGGAGGACAGTAAGCCATGCATACTTGTCAACCCTCCCAATTTCTCCCGCATTTCTCCCGATTTCTGACAAAATCAGATTTACACACGACTGTTTCCACTCGGACTTTAATACAGCTACACCATTGTTTGGTTTCCATGGTAACACGTCTCTTTAGTAGCGCGCGCAACTCAAAGTCTGAGGGTGAGGCAGATATTCACAGAAAACAGAACAAGACTTTGAGTTGCGCGCGCTGCTAAAGAGACGCGCTACCATGGAAACCAAACAATGGTGTAGCTGTATTAAAGTCCGAGTGGAAACAGTCGTGAGTAAATCTGATTTTGTCAGAAATCGGGAGAAATACGGGAGTCTCCCGCGAAAATCGGGAGGGTTGGAAAGTAGTATGACTGACACACACACACACACACACACACACACACACACACACACACACACACACACACACACACACACACACACACACACACATGGTTTTGTCACCATTTCCATAGCCCCACCAAAAATATTTTCCACCAGCCGCCACTGGTCATAATAAAATACAAAAAACACATAAAAGAAGTGTTTTATGTTGAACAAAAATTAAAATAAACCTTTCAATGCAAATTCTGTTAATGTACATTTTTCGTGAAATGTAAGCAATACTTATGCATAATATGCCAATCCACGTTCATTTTCTCATGCATCTTAATGTAAACAGGGATATATCCGTATACCGTACACAACATGTATTACTCTTTAATAATAAGGCACAGCAGGAGTGAGCATAGTCAACGAGGCCTCAGCAAGAGGCTCACACTGAAAGCAAAAAAACATATCCTCAAACAGCATCACACACACCAATCCTGCTGTGTGTGTTGTGTGTTTGGCAACATAAGAACTCATATATTGTGTATCAGATTCCATTTCTGAATAATCAGCCAACCTAGCCAGTTTGCATACACATGGTCATGGAAACACATGAAGCAATTCAACATACGTATATATATACAGCATATACTATAAAACTCATATACGCGTGTTTGTAACTTTGGCTTGTGACATTTAGTATGAGAAGGAACAATGCCACACATTATGCTCTGATTGGACCAGAGTCTTATAACCTGGAATGGACATACTTTACCGCAAATACTTAAAAGTATGATTTTTACATTTTTAGATCACATGAACCTTCATTAAAAGTCAAGTTCAGGACTTTTTAAAGATATTATAAGAAAAGTGCTTACAATGTGTCCATTTTTGTCATGTTTATATCTTTGATATTGAACTTTATATTAAACTTGATATAAGTTCCTAGACAATAAATACTTGATTGTGTCCGTGTCATAATATATTTAGTCTTTGGACACATGAATTACAGATTTGTCCTTAAATACAATTATAAATCTATATATACTTTTGTTCTTAGGCCAGCTCAAAAAACACTTCCATCAATGGAATTTAAAAATTCAGTTAATCGAAGAGTATTTTAACTTTTTTCTCCATGTTTTTTTTAATACCAAATAGGTACAAATATCCAGTAACACACAAGGAATAAAGAAAGTCTGACAAAGTTTGTGTGGCGTACAAAAAAACGTTTGCCACACACCATTGTTTTTACATTTTTCGGGACACTTTGACAAGTTTCAAGTACAGAAAGTAATAACATCTTTGTCGAAGTCAGCGCAGCAATTATCAAAATGGAGTAAATTTAGACAAAAACATAGATGTCTGTCTCACATTGAAGCCAAATAGGATAGAGAGCAGGTCTAAATAAATGTAGTTATTTACAAGAATTTAGAGAAACTTGGAAGTTTTCCCTGTAAATACTATTTTTTTTTTCAGTACATCTGGAATTCTCTTGAGCAATCAGTCATTACCACAACTATTATTTAGCTTCGGAAAATCTTTGCAGGCAATCTTTCAGAAGTAACAGAGCTCTAATACCACTAAACGTTCGGAAATAAAGACTGTTTTATGACGGCAATTAAGAGCCTTATAGAAATGTGCTTTCTGAGCTCTGCGTGCCACAATGCTTCAGTCCATAACTCATTTATATCCAACTGTCCTCTTGTATTTGATTCCTTTCCCCTCCATGCTTCCTCTCCTCTTCTCTCTGCCCGTCATCATCTCCATCTCACTCCCTATCTCCCCCTCTCCATCTGTCCCTTCTTATGAAATAAAACATGAATCCATTATTCATTCATTCAAACATATCTATCATCGCCATGCCCCTTATCTGCAAAGCTTTTTTTTTCTCATTGTGCTTCGGTTATTCACGACTCGTACGGCCTCCAACTGAAAACACCACAACACTGGGGAGTGTTTTTTTTTCAGGCACTGACAAGAGTGGTTCGCGAGGCAGTAAAAATCCCTTTAGGGGATTCTCCTGTCATAACAATAGCAGTGCTAGCTTAAAAATAACAGTAGTTTGTGTGGAAGGTTTATATAAAGCAATAAAACAAGGGAGCTTGCGGTTGCACAGCACATAAATACTGAATAATTTGTGCGGTGAGGAGCAGGTGATGCTCCGAGGGGGGTCATGTTATCGACTGTGTCTCGTATATCTTTATCACGACCCGCATATTGTTGGAATTTCATCTGTAACGTGGGGAGAATAAAACAAACAAGGCTCATAAAGAAAACAGGACAATAAGCGTGTCTTTTTTTTCTTGAGTTAGAAGCCCCCAACGAAATATCCGTAACCTGGCGGAGGGACTGATCTCAGCGTCCAAGGAATTTCTGGCGGTATGTCCGCGGTTATCAGACAGAAAGTTTCCAGGTGAAAAAACAATCTGGCTCTTCTCACAGAGCTGTGGGAGAACATCTGGTTGGTTTTTTTTGCGACAAAATTTGCAAACATGAACCAGCACTTCTTCTGCTGTGTAATTAAATGGTTTGCCAGAAAGGTTCTTCAAAGGCAATTGCAGATCAAGACTCTGCACTTCTGACTTAATACAAGCAGACTGGGGGGGCGGGGGATGTTCAGGGCCGCAGAACTAACACGTGTCCCTTTGTCCCCGTGCAGAATGCTGGAGGATGACCTGAAGATCAGCAGCGACGAGGAGGAGGCCGAACAGCAGGTGAGCTCCGGTCATTTGTCTGTGCAAAAATCATCCATTGCTCCGTCTGTCCTCCATCCACATCCTTGACCTTAAGTTTAGCATTGTATATGTGACATTTACTCATTCATTGGTCCAACAGTCAGCCCCTCTCTGAAAGCATCCATTCTTTTTCAGTGGATCCAAGTATCCAACCAACATCAATTGGCTTATATTTTGGTTGAACCTCCAGACATCGAAAACATTGTTTCCTTTCCTCAAGTGTCCTTGGCTCAAAATATGGATGTATTGCACGTTTTTCCGAATGAGGCCAATGAAAAAGTTTCTACAAGAATACTTGTTTGTACAATTCCCAATGTGTCAGATTTAATAATATATTACAGTTCTTGGTGAAACTGACAGCAGCTGGCATCACAACAGTGTCGAAACCAATAAACTAGAAGGACACATGAAGAGCGTCAAGGTAAAAAATGTGTATTTACTAAGTTTGATATAAATCGGGTTAACTATAGCCAAACTTACTTAGCCTGTTAAGCCCCACAGGGGGGCCCCCCCAATGCTTTTTTATGAAACTATTAATGTGTAGCACCAGATTAACGGGAAGAATCTCAGCTAACTGAAGAAATGAACAATTTTTTTTTAAATCATCAAGTTAAATATATACATATAGCTCTGGAAAACCACTCAAATGTTCTTAACTCTCAATCTCTACATGTATGGCAGCCATTCCATTCCAGTGTCTGCTGAATTCCAACACAGAGAAATGTTGTCAATAGTTTATAGAATAAATAAAAAGACATACATTTCTCTCAAACACATACCTATAAAAAGTTAAAACAGAGAAACTAATAATGCGGCAGTGGTCTCTTAATTTGTCCAGAGTTTTTCATTGATAAAAAATGGTAGGACCCTGCTTGGGCTCAAGATTATTTCCTGTACTGGTAACCCTTTTAGAAAAGGATCAATTTAAAGGTCCCATGTCCTGCCTTTCCGGTTATTACCCGTGCCCTTGTGTGTTATGTAGCTTTTTCTGCATGTAAACGGTCTGCAGAGTCACAAACCCTCAAAGTACACCCTGTAGCGAGTAAAACTCTAACACAGAAAAGACCTGTCTATGCTGCCCCAGAACGCCTCGTTGGAGATTTCTCTTTTTCCATTTGTATCCGCGGAGCTCCTCACACACCAGGGTCCCTTGGCGTCACTATCAAACGCAGTAGGGGGACCTTTAGCGTACATTTTCAACTAACAGGGAGTCCCATTGACTTGCTTAGAGCTCCCTGGTTGGTAATAGACGAGTTGGGATGGCGGAGAAATGCTCTCCGTAGACCCATTCTCACAGCGTTATAAACCTTTTTCTTACTCAGCCACACTTATTGTTTTTACTTCGGCTGTGAGTGTTTGTGTGTGCTCAGGATGAGTTTCGCGCTGTCCCGCTGTATCGCCGACCCGGAAACCACACCAGTAAGCCAGATCATTGAGCAGCGAGCCTCGCAACGTCCCGACCAATCACTGGGCTCACAAGGATGGGGGGGCAGGAGCTCCAACAAGCCGTTTAGGACATCGAGTGAATACCGGTGAATACACATACTTTACAGAGATGCTGTATGAGAAACAAATGTGAGTTTGGAAAATTGCACAATATCTATTTTAGTATACCTCAACAATGGAATTATGATCAGTAGAAATGGCCATGACATGGGACCTTTAAACAAAAAGCAAACTCTAAAACTTTACTTTTAAACAATTAAAACACCCTTATTCTTAGTCATGTTAGACCAGAGAGTGTTTTTTATCACGTTTAATGGGACTATGCCATACAATAAAAGCTTTTGAAATGACTTAAAAGAGCTTTCTTAGGATTTTGGTGAACAAATCGTTAGTTGACTGTAACTCAACATGCTAAGATCTCTCATTATCTATTCCCGTCAGGTGGCACACTTTAGTCTCTATAATTAAGAAACACTTTGTCTGAGTTTGAGTCTATACCTACTGCATCATTGTTCAGAAACAGACAACACATCATGTTGATGTTTTATTATTATTAGCAGTGTTTCCCCACGTTGAGTTCAGGGTCCATCGGTCACAGAGTTCATGTTTGTCACCCAGCAGTTGTCCTGCTCTTCCTGTCTTGATTTCTTCTGTATGGAAATTGTCACGGTGGCCCTCCCTCCTTTAATCACTATCATCATGCAGTAATGATGCCAGAGATAGTTCAAAGCAGTCAGTGGGGGTCGCGCCGCTTCCCCCCCCCCCCCCCATTTACGAACACTCAATGTTTCAGCCGTACACATGTGACATACATAAACACATAAACTATTTCTTACCGAACACACGACACGAAATGAAGTCCGCATACCTTCGCTTTCGTGGTACCGTGCAGTAACGATTCGGACAATTGTCGTACGTACCTGTTTCTACGTGACCTCAAGTAGAGTCGGAGAGAGGGGGTAGGGAGTAATATAGAGACAAAGAGTGAAGGAGCATAGACGAAGGATAGACCGTAACAAAAAGTTCAAACATATAATAGAAGGGGAGAGTACAAAGGTGTTGAATTTGGGAAAACATAAAAGGGGTGAAAGACAAAATACGACGAGTGGGACACAGACACTGTCGCTCTTTCTGTAACTGACGACTCTAATATTTAATGCCTCTGCGTTTATACACTACCTAAAATTGTATTTATCATGATTATACAACCTTTTGAGGACTCTTCTGTGCCCACTTTAATGTTTTTTTTAGTAAAAGCTTAGAAATAGGACACATACACTAATAAAACAATACCAAATGACAAAACATAGTTGTTGAGATTTTGATAGTTATAAAACCTAACTGAGTTATAGTACTACTCGCACATTGTGTATACAGGCTTAGTTAAAAGACTAAATGACGTGGATAGTAGAAAAAATTTTGTTATAAGGAAGTATTTATAAAACTGTCTTGTCTAGGTAACGGTAAACTGAATGTTGTCGAACTTATACTGGTACCCTCCTCAAGTGGCAAAAAAACCTTTGTATTAGATGAACCCCATCCGAAAATCTTTCTTTAGAGTCAAAACCGAAATTTTATAAATCAAAAGGATGTTTTGAAACCATGTAACTGCTATCACATTCATATGTGATGTATGCAAGTAACTCATGCAATGTATTCACGTACCGACTGCCGCATTATATATACAACAATCAAATCATACGTTGTATCCCATGCATTTCATAACAACAACAAATGAAATCTCAAAGCAAATACGTCAATCAAGGTGTTATGAATTAAATTTTGTTATAATTGTGTAATAAATGAGAAACTCTTGTTATATAACAATGGAGGATGTAAACTTTTCACCCAGGTATAACCGTTAAACCTAATGTAAACTTACTTACGACGTCGGAATCAATGCATACGTACATTGCTTTACACTAAGTCGAATTTGTCACCGTTGAAATAAATCGGAGCAAACTTAATCAGTTACAACAACTAAAAAACTTAAGTGTGTCCTGTCTCTGAGGACTCAATTCAGGCCACAAACACCGGGAAACACCTGCACATCTATGTCTGGGGGTGGATGACATGTGGAGGGAGGGTGTACAACGTTCTAGTCCTCCGTCTTCTACTACTTCTTTAATTCTTTACTCTGGGTTTAGGCTGTGTGTGGAGGATGATGTCGTCGTATAACGAGACGAGAGCCCTGACTTTTGGTGATCGATTTGTCGTCCACCTCAAAATATGTTACTATGTATAGTGTATCTATTCTATGTTATTACATTTGAGAGGATTCAAATTCCACTCATTAGTCTTTATAAATTTACCATAAGTTTATTTCTCTCTTTTCTTCCTAATGTAAAATTCCTCCTCCTATTTACGTTAACACTACGTGAAGACATTTTTTCACTCAGTTTAGGTCTTACTATTAGTTAACATAGCTTCACGTAAACCGCAGATAAGCAGGTTGAAAGTTTCTGATTAGTATACGTTTTGAGCTACTAATTCGCCTGGTTAACGATGTCAAGACTTAGGGTGAGATTCATAGACATTAATTGTCTAGATGAAGACGTATTAATATTATCGATTTTTAGTGATATTTACTGGCGGTAGTAAAATGTTAATATTTTAAGATGGTAGTACATTAATATATGTTAGTCTTCCCCGTTCAATTTTCCTCTACTCCTCTCTTAGCCATAGAAAAGTAATTCTCTTTTATAGACGGCCTTGGGAAACTACTCGGCACTATAGTCAGGCGTGTCAG